CCTACCACCTACCAGTTTTCTCATGCTGGGCCTCCATTTGCTGCATCTTCTGTGTCAGCTCCTGCTCTCTTTGCTGGGCCTGAAGGGCTCGGGCCTTTGCTTCATTGCTAATGCTTTGCTGAATACTCTCTTTCTCCAATCTATAAAAAAACCCACAAATAGAAAATAAAGAAAAATAAAAATCATATACTCAAGATGATAAATTAAAAAGGCAAAGCAGAACATTCGATTATTAGTAATAATTAAAAAAAAAAAAAATTGGCCAAGCTTTTCACATTAAACATTCCCCTCCCACTTCAGGTTATACAAACTGACCTTTTTCTCTTACAATGTCAAACATTCTCCAGTGGCTAGTATAAAATGGGTAAAAAATATGAACCATTTCCTGAGCAAAAATTAGCCTTTCAGACAAAAATTTGATTTTATTTTCAAAAAACTTTAAACACGCCTGCTTTTTCATAAAGAAGTTCCCCAACATCCACTTTGCTTTGAACAGATTATTTGCATTTTCTTTTAAATGCTATTTATTTAATTCTGCAATGAAGCTTAGGGACCTGACCCTGAGATGGACTGGTTCCCAGTGAACCAGCAGGAGATAAGTCAATGGGAGTGATTGCCACACTGCTCATAATACAGCTACTCTGAAAGCTTAATGAGTTTTTTTTAAGCAACCAAACAAGTTTTAGCTATTAATTTATGTTAATAGGAGATGAATGCAGCCATTACAATAGAGACGCCTGTTAGCACCACACAGGCCCAGCCCCTTGTGGTTCTGCTCACTGGGGGGTTGTACAGGAAGGTCTAAAGCCCAGTATTATTATCGAAGTACGCAAGCAAGAGAGCAATTTACTTGACCAGATATGCAAGATGGGGCAATCTACTCCTGAGGCAAAACAAATGCTAGACTACCACACTCCAATGAAGCATTTTATTTAATGCAAGCCAAGCAAAAACAGCATGGAAAATAAAACCCCCCAAAAATATATGCATATAAATTAGAAAAGGTCCTAAACTGCAAATTCATATCTAGACTTTCCCAAAGGTCGTGAATATTTATCTGGTGCACACTAGGATCCAGATTCAAAAATGCAACTCCAGTGAGTTCACATGTTACAAGGATTGATTTCTAGATTTCAAATGACACACTTTTCTACTGAAACTACATTTAATAGCTTGGGAATAGGTTTCAATAAGGTCTTATAAATGTTTTGTTTTATTCTAGAGATAATACCTATTTCAGGGGACTACAAAACAGAACACGGGCATAGATCATATAAGGATAAAGCCACATCTCATGTGGTTGCTGCACTTAACCTTTGGATTGGTGCCTAATAACCCATCCGAGATATTGCAATATCTCAGCATGACACACACAATGTTAAATCTTCTCTCTTAAATTTACCCCAAAGCAATACAAATGGTGGGTCACATTACACTAATTCCTGGTCCTGATGTTGCAAGCCCTACCTTAGGCAAAACTCCCTTTGAAATCACAGGCAGTTTTTTCTGAGGTAAGACTGAGAATGATTTGACACAGAGAATACATTTAGATAGCAAGAATATTACAGTGTTAAGGACACAAAGCACATTTTTCAAGGACATTTTATACATTGAACTGCACTTCATCACATCATTCTCAGAATTACTTCATAACCATATTGGGGCTATCCTAAGGAGTGATGCTTACGTCATTTCCCAAGTGTAAGCTCCAAATATGGAAGGAATTACTATGAAAAATCTTCCCATATTTGCTGGGAACCAGCCTATTTAAACCCCTTCCCCCCTTCCAAACATCTTTTACCTTCAGAAAATTGTCATGAGCGCCAGACTGCTCAAAAAAACCCCACACCAGCACCTAACACATCCCCCAGACACTTTCAGCTAAAGGAAGTGGCAGTAGCAGAGCGTTTTATTTAATAGCACCTCACGCAAGATGGCTGTGTGCAGTTGGGTGCTGTGCTGTCATCTGGCACACAGCTGGCTGGCTCGCATTCTGCTGGGGGTAGCCTTCAGCATGTATCAAGCTGCACAGCTCAAGCTACCACCGCAAGCCTATGAAGGTCCATTCCTCATTGCTAGGGTCCCTCCTTTCGAACACATGCTAATGGGCAAATTCAAAATAAATGGAGAATCTGCTGCCACCAGAAACAGTCTCTTGCCAAGGGGATCCATCCAAAAAAGCCACTCACCTGTGTTACTTGCTGTATAGAGCAAACTAGTAGGAGCTCAGAAACCACAGATACATGGTGAGTTCCTTATAGCTGAAGTGCATATGGGGTAGGTGAAAATAGATGAGTTTATACAGTAGATAAAAGCTCAACTGTAAGACTAGGAAAACTCAGGTAAGTCTTACACAGAAGGGTAGCTGATTAGTCTCAATCTTAGCACCTAGAAAATTTTGGGATTGAGACACATGCAGTGCCACATAAAGAGCAATATCTGAGATGCCTAGAGCTGGTGAGGAACGAAAAAATTTCCTGGAGCCAAAGCTGTCTAAACTGAGTGGCAAGTCTTTTACCCACACCTTGAGCTGACACCTTCCCTGCTCTTTAAGTTCAATCTTCTCTGCCCTCCTACAGAAAAATTTCCCTAACACATTTTGTATATACAGAGAAAAAAGAAAAAAAAACAAAAAACCAACCAAACCCAACAAAAAAACCCCATAGATAAAACATGCAGAAGGCAGCAGACATTGCAGAAACTATTGGTAACAGTCCTGCTGCGACGGGCAAATACTGAGGGAGTTTTAGAAGGTTTGACGCTGGCTGCTTATTTGCAATTACTCTGAATTGTGAAAGAAGGGGAGCTTAATTTTAGAAAAAGAAAAGCTATGGACTGTAGACAGAAGGAAACATTTATACCCCTCTAGCATTAGTGTTAAGATATGAGGAGTTTCCTCCTACAAAAACCTCAGAATTTCTCATATTGACTAAAGAAGAGCACTGCGACAGTATCAAGCAGAGCAACAACAGCCTGATTTTGATGACACAGGTTAAGATCTGAACCAGAAATGGCAGCTTAAGATGAATTGTACTGGAACTTTTTAAAGCATCATCTATAGGTATCAAAAAAGGGGGACACAGTGGTTAAACTGCAGCAGCCTGTTCTCTACTAGAATGCAAACACTGAATCATAATTGGAGACAGTAGCAAAAGTTAGTTATTTCACGCAGTATCCATTGTAAAACACAAAATAAATGCCCATCTGATAATAATTCTGGATTTGGCCAATAACATTGATCAGTTTTACTAAAGCAGAAGCATTGAAGTCATGGTGACTCATTTTTGTGCCATAAAGTCAGAAGCAACCAAGGACTCATTCGTGCGAGCGCTCCTTGAGATCAGTTCTGAAGTGCAAGTTTTTCACAGTGATTTTTAGTTCTAAACGCTGATTGTTTTGAGTCTGAGTTACGTCTGTCAAGAGCAGCCTACTTAGTTAACTCCTTCGCATATCTCAATGAACCGGATATTGGTTTGCAGTGACTGAAAGTGATGCTTTCTAAATATTCTTGACAAAACAAAGGGCACAGTAAAGTGTAGCTTATAGCACAGGAAAAAGAACAAGATTGCCATCACTTGCAAACCTTAAAAAAAAACCTTGCTGAAAATAAAGTGAAAAATTCACTTTAACCTCAAACCTAACATAAAAGTATGCTGGCTGGATTTCAGCCACCTAATTTAATAAAAAAAAACCATTTCCCACCACTAACAAATTGGATCACAGCTCCATTTTCAACAGAGCACTGCCCTCTGTGAAATGGCTTCACAGTAAAGAAAAAGGAAGGATGTAAGACTAGTAATGTGAAAGTCATATTTGACATAATAGCTCATTGATTTTTTACTGTAAAAGAACAGAACTTAGACTGATAAAACTTTGAATTTCACAGTGCAATTTAACAGTAGCTATTCCTGCAAGAGTCTTTTTGCTTTGGTAACAGTAAAAATACAGACTGAAAAAAATACAGGATAAGTCTCAATGTAGAATTAGGCCTCTGACTGGAGGCTGCCAGTCTTCTGACAAAGCAACTGTGATGTGAAGCGACCACGCTTCCTATATTGAATATTTGATTTTTTCCATGAGATCAACATGCGGCATTTTGTAAAAAGCTAATGGATCCATTAGTATGGACTATGAACTTAATTGGACAAATTAAAATACTCTAACAATTCTCTCAGTTCAGTGGCACACAAAAGGTTATCATAAGGTTATTTCTGACATCTTCATTTCTTAATTATAGTTTAAAAAATAATTATTAAAATATTTTAGGCTTTCATATATACGTACTTTAAACTGGACTTCATAAATTATTCAGGCATTTAGTGTTCCAACCATTTGAGATATCTGAAGTAACAAGACTGTTGGTCTAAACGACCTGTCCTGGAACTCAGCATCAACACTCAAGCAGCAAGAGGACCAGTCGAGCCTAACACTGGTGCTGTTACTACAGGCCACAGTGGTTGAGCACAGACCTCTTCCCATATAACAGGTAGCCAAGTGGGCCACCTCTGTGAACTTCCATATGACGAATCCCCATCAGAAGAGGAAAAGAAGTTCTAGAGGAACCGGGCTTCTTCTCCCAGTACTTTTGAAAATAAATGTGTAGTACAAGCTTCTAGGTACCAAATGGAAAAAACAGTTTTGTGAAGGTACCCAAGCACTTAATTCCCAAAATCTGGCCTGCGGTCACTCAAAGCAATTAGAACACTTCTGAAAACAGGACTTGAAAGCCTATGTGTATTAGGAACTCTAAAGATTTTAGCCAATAACTTTGGGTACAAAGGCCCAGCAATGTTTTATGCAGTCTACTTTGCAAGCCTTCCATGATACAGGTCTAGTGGAATGTCCATTACAAGCAGCTTTCCAAACCATCTTCTCGCAGGTTATTTCATATTATTTCAGCTACAGGTGTCAAGGGAAGAATGGAAAAATCAGAGTGTATCCTCTTTCAGGCTACAGGGAAAAAACAACCCAAGCCAAAACCCACACAGCAGCATTCATGGCAGAAAAAATGAATAAAACCTGAAACAAGATGTCACAATACCTACCCTATTCTGTAGGGGGAAACATAAGAAAAATGTTTGCAGTCTCTTACTTCACTATCAGAAAGCATTCAAATACTGCAATTATAAAGGTCATAAAA